AACAATAACCGTATGACTGTCCCCGCCACAAACACATGACCCTGCATCATTCCATGTTTGGCACTGATCACCACCTGCACTCATGTATATACCTATCTACTTAGCACTTTTAATTCTTATTCTTATTTTTATTTATTTATTTATTTATTTATTTTTCATGTCTATTTAAGCGTAATTTATGACAGAATGTTTGCACTGAAGCACCGCAGCAATTTCCTAATGTTGTAAACCTGCTCAACATTTGGCAATAAAACCCTTTCTGATTCTGATTCTGATTCATCCTGAAACAATCAGAATCAGAGGGAGTGCTCGCCCAGGGCGCCAAACAGGCTAGGACTGCCACTGCTCTGATGCATCCATTGCAGTGTATGCGTGAGTGTTAGACAATGTAATAAGCTTGTGAAAAAACTTGGGGTACAAAAAAACCCTCACCACAACAAATAATGGGACACGGGAAAGAAATAAGTATTGTGTTAGTTTCTATTGGCTTGTACTGCATATAAAACACCAGGCCATGACCACAGGGCATTTAACATGTTATGCACCACAACAAGCATAAATACACCAACGACATTAGCCACTTACCTACCGCAAAGTTTAAATCACTCATTAGTTTGTGTTTCTACAACTCGCTTGCTGCTATTTTCTGATTCTTCCTCTTTTCTCCTGAGGGATTTGATACATTATTTATCTGACCCATGTTTAGAATTTGCTGTATTAGCTGCCAAAACCCAGGATTGAACAAGGGTGCTTTTTTTGTATATAGCACAGTAGTAACAAAATTCGAGAATGACCATAACCCTGTCCTGAGAATTGTGACTGTGGGTTCCCCAGAAAGACAAAAATCTGCTGGTCTTTGAGGGATGATGGGAGAACCTCAAAGAATGAAATGGTAAAACAGCACAGGACTGATCATATGCACATAAAGCACATGAAGAGAAAAGATCATAGAGGTGAAGGATGATTTAAGCGATACTGCCTTGATGCAGAAATGTGAGTTGATCAAGTGATGCACACAATGGTTAGCATTTTGATCTCATACAATATGAATTACAGGTTCAAGGCC